ATTTTTGGCTTTTCTCTTAGACAAGGTCTAGAGCCACGCTATGGGTACCAATGGAGTCCTCTGGTCAAGATAAGGTCCTCTATAAAGTCTGGTAAGCATAGGAGCTCGTTTTCCCAGTATAGCAAGGCTGCAAAAGTCGTGGCAGCCATATTGTTTTGGGGTGAATCCTACTTAGTAACGCTACCGCGTTACTAATAGATACCACCACCTATACACTAAACAAATAAACACCACCACCACCACCACCAGGCTGCCATCACAAGTCCACTAGCTCCAGTAGGAGACAATAGGGTCTTGCTTGAGAACAGCGTCCCTTTAGTAACAAATGCACTGAGCATCCTATTTGTATTAAGGCTCTGATGGGGGACCATATTCATTCAAAACAGCTCTAGAACACGTCCATTAACCCAGTAATAGATTACATTCTCTCTCAGTAGTGGGTGTAAAGGTAGAGGACAGAAGTGATGGGGGACTATGGATTTACATTATTCATGAACTTTTTGCAGACGGGGCAGATTCCCTCGGCTAAGGTTGCAGAGAACATCATGACTTGCTTCTCGTGAGGTGTGGCTTTGAAGATTTCCTGGACATCCCTTCTCATGTCTATGAGAGAAAGAGAGAAGAGTTAAATATTTTAATGACAAAATAATTCGCCACAAAATCAAAAGTTAAGCACTTGGTCTTGGTCTTAAAATAATATTAAGCAACAAATACAAAGTAGTAAAAAATAAGGCTTAAAAATTAAAGCAGCACCACACAATACAAAGCAAATTATTGTAATACAGTGAAGGATTAATAAATACATGTAATATAAATGCATACCCAGTTGCTCAAGCATCTTGTCACACTCATCCAATATGAAATGCTTCACATTGTGAAGGTTGAGCGTCTTCTGTCTCACCAGAGCCAGGATGCGACCAGGAGTACCAACCACTATGTGTGGGCAGTTAGTCTTGAGAGTTTCCTTGTCTTTCATGACACTAATGCTGCCAAAGAACATCGAGGTCTTGACTCCATCAAAATACTTGGAGAATCGTTCATACTCCTTTTATATTTGATAGGCCAATTCCCTGTAAAAAAAAGAGGAGAAAAATTTGTTAAATACCAGAAACAAAATGACAAGATTTAATGTACATAACAGCTATGAAATAGCAATATGCTGAATAAAACATTCATAACCACACACTTAAATACAATTGTGATCATTCATTACCTGGCATGGCACATTACAAGAACAGAGACTTGTCCGTCAACTATCTCCAGTTGCTGAAGCGTCGCTATGACAAAGACAGCAGTCTTGCCCATACCTGATTTTGCTTGACAGATGACGTCCATGCCTAAAATAGCCTGAGGAATACACTCGTGTTGCACTAAAAAAGAAATGAAAAAGATCAACATGACATTATACTACATCAATAAGATAATTAATTGTACATGAGATAAATTATAATTTATTAGTGTCCCTAGCATGGTTACTCTCTCCAATTAATGTCCACTGGAAGCTATGGGAGGAACAGGAACATGCTATTGCCTGCTCAGCTTATCTTAGGTAAGACAGCGGCAGTACTTTAAAAAATTAATTAATTTTTAATAATTAATTAATTAAAATTAATTAATGAACATTAATTTTTATTAAAAATGAATTATGAAACAGGAAGTGAAGGGATGTTAATTAATTTTTATTAAAAATAAATTATGAAACAGGAAGTGAGCTGCTGCTAATTAATTTTTATTAAAAAGATTTATTAAATGCATTAATACATAAAAGTCATAAAATGGCACTATGCTGAATAAAAAATAATTATTCCTAACCACACACTCAAATAAAAATAATTAAGATCAATAAATAGTATTCATTCACTTCTCTTACCTGGCATGGCACGTTACAAGAACAAAGACTTGTCAGTCTATATAGTTCCTCTTAGCTGCTGATCACGCCTTCTTTGCCCGAGAGCTACCGAATGACATCATCACTTTCTCAAGACCCTCAGAATACTCTTCCTTGGATATGGACTTACGCTTGAAGGGATTAGGATCAGTCACTGGAGTATCAGTTTTACCTGTAAAGATCAAGCACATAAAGAGACATGTATCAATATCATTGTTTGCCTGTTATGCATGTACATGTACAAATTGATGGGCAGGAGGCCATAACTCAAAATAATTAATTTTGCAATTTTTTTGCCAATGGCTGATTTTCAAAATGGTCATAACTCAAAGAAATTAAGTCGGAATCAGCTCAAACTTTCTACATAGCATAAGGACATCAATATATATCAGAAAATGTAATAAAAACTTGGGGTGATTTCGGAGCCATTTTTTGGAAAAAGCATGGGCTATAGCCTTGGGTAATTTTCAGAAATCGGCTCATTTTTTAAATGGCTGTAACTCGAAAAGTTGAAGTCGAAATCAGCTAAAACTAGCTATGTAGCATAAGGACATTGATATGTATCAGAAAACATAATAAAAATCGGGGGGTGATTTCAGAGCCATTTTTTGGAAAAAACCATGGGCTAAACATAAAAAATTTAAAAAAACAAGATGAAGTAGGATTCCGAACGACCAACGAAAATACGAAATGAAAATCCTACTCTCG